GAAGTAACGAAGCACAAAAGGTCACCCTATCCGACTGGGCAGCAGTTGGAAAAATGTTTGTTCACTCTGAGACAAGCTGGGGATATTGGCCATTAATTTTTGACTAACTGTTGATCAATAACGCTCTTGAATTATTGCGAGACAAGGTCGCTCTCTGATCTAAATGTCCTGTTTCTCTTGAAGACATGACGATCGTTTAGAAAAATTATTTCCAGAGAGGCTCCGGATCAGAAAGAGTCGTACAAGAGAGCTTGAAAAGCAAGTTTACTCGAAAAAATCACTAAAAATCCTATGAACGAGGGTAAGCAGAGAGCAAACCGTCTATTAAACAACGCCCAGAATACGCGATCTCAAGCGTAACGGAAACTAATCGCTGTTGGCTTGGAGAATTTGGGCGAATCTAACCCTTAGAAGATTGCGATAGTTTTGACCTCAATCCATTCACCCATAAGCACTCCTAATTGTCCAACTTTTTAAGGTAGATAACTTGATCTTCGTCTCACGTTTCAGGTGACATTTGACTTCTAAATCGAAGAATAAAATTACAGGTCTCTACCTCAGTATCTACTGCTGCAGTTCAAGAAATAAACTACACGTCCAGCTAATTGATTTATGTGGTTTCTGGTTAAGACAGCTCATTTTCCTCTCTATGCCCGCTTGTCTAGCTGGTGTTATCGTGTAGCTATTAAACAGGTGAATACAGAAAACTATGGAAATTACGCATGTGCCCGATTGTCCCGAGGGGAGAACAGACCTTGTAACTGGCTTTATTTGTGAGAATATGACCTGACCTCAGGTCAAACGCTTAGTGTGAACAACCTGCTTTGTTTTAATGAAGACCTGTTCTCACAGCTGTGGGGTGCTTATGCTCCCGGATAATGTGCCATTTCGTTAACCATTGCCTACTGTTCCAACTGGCAAGTCTGATTGATTTCTTTGGCGGAAATTTGGAAGTGTTGTTGATGAGTTTGAACCAACGAAACTGGTCACCCAATCAAACTTGAGTGCGAATTGGGTGTCTTGGAGCCGTTGATCCGTGATCGAGTCCACGACTAACAAAATGTGTTTGCTGGCCAAAGCCTAATGTTCACAAATCCTACAGCCATGCAAGTGACGACAGCTACTAGTGAAACACCAACACTGGACCCTTTTAGACCTCCGCCAACTTTTCGAATGCTGAGTGCCTCAAGGGAAATCTAGCTACGTTTGGTTGGTAGCCGGGATGTTCCCTCGTCTGTAGCTTAAATACCAACCTACGTGGTTCGAAGTTTACAAGTGAATAGCTTTGCTCTGAAGTTCCAGGTAGTTAAATTGCACCGTCACGCAATGCTTTGAAGCTGCAAATTAACCTTTGAAACCGGGTTTCAGCCTTTTGTCCTGATTACTTTCACACAATCATCAAAATTCAAGTAATTTAACTTTTACAGGCAGGAGAAGCATCCTGCAGTGTAAAAACGCATGAAATTGGGCCAGCCCACAGTGCTTAACCAATTCGTCAATCTGGTATGTGTGAATAGAGTTGATGAAACCACCATAAAATGCACAGGGGTAACTTAAGTCTTAAATTATACCTCGATGTATTATACCTCGTAAATTGCGTTTTCGTTCAGTGACCCACAACGGAAAGACTTACAGTGTGGATGGGTACAGTCGCCAACGAGGACAGGCCAATCACCTCCCAGTAAAACGGGAATGCACACACACAAAGAGAGAGAGCCACATCAGTTATGTCTGTCCGCATCTGGGTCCTTGTGGCTCCATCATTCAACGCAGGAGTGTACACGCAAACAGACCGCGTGGCACACAAAGCGCTGTCAACATCCGTGGGGCTCCGACAAGCGTTGGCGGTGTGAAAAAACACGACTTTTTGCCTGTCTGGGTCGCGAACTTGGAGGTTCAAGTGCCGGCAAGATGGTGAAGGTCTAGGAGCATGGTGCATTTGTGGGAGACTGTCAGCGAGCGAGCATGAGTGATGCATGTTTACGGGCCAGTTAGTGTCAATGACTCATTGGTTAGTGTCATCAGTCGCTTTATGGGCACGCCCACAATCAGGGTCCAATTAGCTTGCCTGATACTACTAAACAGTTGTCTGCATTGTCGTCTGTTTTGTCTCTGGTCTCGGGTTAGCTAGCAGGATTGTGAGGTAGCGCAAGAACTCTCCAAATCTGACTGGGATAAATGAGTCATAACAGCCGCGGAATGTGTCCAGGTGACATGCCCAGCTTCACATCAGACGATCGGCAGTCGGACACGTCACCAGGTGCCAGACGGATAGGTGTAGTTGTAACGGTTTCAGCTGGACGTCGTCACGTGGTACCCGTGTGTCTGCGCCTTCACGCGCCAACAGACTTAACCGCCAGTAGACACGCGCCCAGTTATCTATTAGTGACACTGCTAGACGTGACTGACGCGTAGGTGTCTGGATTAATTGCGTCGATTTCTCAAACCTCAGGCAACCCTCTGTTCACTGAATTGATTCAGGAATTTGAACCTAGTTGTTCAAGATGGCCCCGTGAGTTGATGGTCATGCGTGGATGTACCTCCGTCAGTGTCAATTTACTCCGAATTGCCACAAGCTTCGAAGGAAAACTGCTTGAAGTTAAAAGCACTTCATGCTCAGGCTTTAAAAAGGAAAAGTTAGACGTTTTTTTTAAAAATGCATCAGCTAGCTAAATTTAAAGCTGCATATATGCTGGCAAGTGCAGGCAGCACTTGGCTCTGTTTGTAGGGATTAACAGCTGGAGCGAATCGGCTGGCGTATGTTCACAGCTTGTTCTGGCGTGGGTTCAGATTTTATGCACGCGCAAACACCCCCTCGGCAAATGTAACCATTTGAATTTCGAAGGACTTACTTCGAAATGGTTAATTTCGCGCCCATTGGAATCACTGCCAATTAGTTTGACGAATGAAATTTACACTGAGAAGCCACTTTCTAGTGGAGCTAAGGGGATTGGGTGCATGGAAGTGGCGGGGAATTAAAAATGTGTGCGTAATCATCGCTGAGTGTAGCAAGTTTGTCCGGGAAGTGGGGACAAACTACTCACGGTTGTGACAATGGCCAATCAAAGGTTGCCTAGTACCTGCCCTGGACAAGTAGCGTCCAATCTGGTTTGGAAGAAAGCATAACCTCCATAAACGAGACCAATTTGAAGCAGAATCAGCAACACATTTATCAAAAGGCAGGGGGATTGTGAAAACAAATGGAAAATCTGGTTATTTTCGCAATCGGCCGAATGACTCAGACGCGAGGAATTTGCTGTCACACTTGCAGGGAGCTAAATTAGTCACCCCAGGTTGGCAGATCCACTTGTGTGCGCTAGAGTGGCGTGGCTGTCTTTCGGACAAGTATGGGCTAGGTTGTTGCTACAAGGTGAAGTGGTTACGCGGTTCTACTCGCTGTCACACTTGGGCGACATCGGAGTCGGTTTTAGATTCGAGAACTGTGTCTCTATTTCACAAGTTCTGGATGGGATAAAACGTAAATTAACTGTGGTTTTGCTTTTAATGAATGCTTAATTTGAGGTTGGATCAAGTGCCTACAAAGGCCAATAGCAAAAAAAACAAAAAGTAGTTGAAACGCAGCTCGACCAATCACAGCGAGGCCTCAAATCGGTGACGACGAAGCGTTTCCCAAAAGTGTTCGTAGTTAGAGGACTGAGCAGTGATGCGCGAAACCATCCTAACTCGGAGTCTAGGGTGGTGCATTTTGGTGTCAACATGCCTGGATATCGGCGGTCCCGGCCATAAATCAGTTGGGCTTTGGTGTGTGCACTTCGAAATGCGTGAACTCTGTGATGTGACGACAGTCATGCCGCCCGTAATGAACCTTATACAAACACATCCAAACGTCCACACCTCGCTTGATTAAACAAACGAAATCCACCAACGTCTCCACGTGTGGATGATGATGATGATTTCTTAGCTTGTCGTCGGTAGAAGAAGCACCGAGTAAGGCAACAATTGCGTTCCACGAAAAGTACAAAATCAACCAATCGGAGAATCGCGTGAAAGCTAGCAGACCTGTCGGTTAGTGTGTTTGCTACGACGGTATATAGAGTGCATTTCTCTGTCTTGCATGGATTTATTTACGTCTTAGTGCTGGATTAGGTCGTTCTCTGATCTATGTTCGATGTTTTGTTTGGATGAAATCACGTCTCAATCAACCGCGCAGACATAAACAGTTTCTGAACAGATGTATAACACTGTATCTAGGTAGATCGCCTATTATTATGAAGCCTACTTTGCTAAAACGCAGTCGATTACCGTTGTTGTTCCCATCAGGAATGTGTCCGACCACCTCGACGCACCGTACATAAACTGGTAAAACCAAACACACGACAGCCGCACGGGCATCGGACAACCGTGGTGGACAATTACCGAATTAACGGCTGAGTGACTACGCGAGTTTAGCATAGATCATCGTAGTCTGCTGTTGTGATAAAGGCCAGCGTTTAACAGACCACCCCTTCCGTGGGTAGAAGCCTACAGGACTGAACTCTATAACAACACAAAGAGCGCCGACAGCGGAAATGCGAACTAGCTGGCTGGACACGGCAAAGCAAACACGAAATGGAACAAAGACCCCCTACATTTCTAGACTCCCTGTCACAGACCTAGGCCAGAGATGCTTACAAACCCGCCCCCACTTCTGTCGAGACTGCACCAATCAAATAAGACAAGATTATTTGAGACATGACTATTGCGGACTGAAAAAAGCGCGAAATCGGTCAGTTGGTGATTGTTTAAGCAACATATGACACGGCGGAATAGTACATAGGGGGAGGGGGACTGGCAGGTGAAGGAGCGGTTTCAAAAAGCAGTTAGTTTTTTTTTGACAGATCACGGATGGCCTAAGCACGAGGGTCAACGCGGCAACCACAGAGGGAAGACGTAAGCGGAAGTGTCCACAGCTTCGAGTAAAATCAAAACGGGCATGTGTATGTGATGTCGCGTTACTGTGTGGGGAATTGTACAAATTAGTCAGTTGGAGTGGATAGCGCCTAGTCATTTCTAACTTCGGTGTCGACATTGGTGGCGTGGTCCGCGACGCCGTTGGTCTGCGCCGGCTGAGCTGAGTCAATGCCGAGGTTCGCCAGCTTCTCAGTCAGGCCCAGGTCGGTATTCGACTCTTCAGCAGCACACTGAAACGACAATGAAAGACGTGGAACAGCCAAGTCGCCACAACGATCAGATACAACGCCTAGGTGTGACTACCTACCTCAGCAACGGGCTCATTAGCTGGCGCTGAGGTTTCTTCAACAAAGTGTTCCTCGCCAACTTGAGAGTGGAAGCCGTTGGTGGTGGGCGCGAACTCGACAACAGGCCCACTACACGAATCCGCCGGATCAGGGTGACTTGTTGCCTGGTCTACTTGTGTCGTTTCGGCTGATTGCGTCTCCACATCGCCAACAGGCGCCTCGGGAAGTTCAGGCTTAAAATGAGGACGATGGAAACAATGGTTTAAAAGAAGGCACACAGAACACAGACCGGAACAGGCAATGAACGAAGCAACAGAGGCAAGCAGGATGACCACAGTGGCGAAGCAGCATAACAACACTTAGCGCAAACAAAAACTCCAATTTCACACCTTTTTCTCTTCCACCGCTTCGGCGACGGGTTCTGCGTTCTCGGTGGATTCAGCGGGGGGCTTTTCTGGCTCAACGTTTTTCGGTGTTTTGGTCTTCTTGAAGGATATTTTCTTGTTCAACCAACTAATCGGGTTTTTCACTTTTTGAGCTGACTAATAAGTGAGGGAGTGTACGGCAGAGTTACGAACAAGTCAACGAGTTCTGACACCACCAAAAGTTGGCAAACGCACCTTAGGTTCGTGGCATTCGGCAACGGCAGGAGCGGTATCGGTTGGAGCCTCCGCGGGAGCAGCTGACGCCGAGCAATCGCCATTCGGCTCTGTTGTAGGCTCGTCGATAGAGGGAATCGCCTCGGTATTTCCATTCTCCATAACCTAGAACAAGAAAAACATGCCTTAACACCCGATCGGGTTTAAATGTAAGATTTAAATAACAACTCAAACCTACCGTTTTGGTGATGGTGGCGGTGGGTTCTGGAGCGGCAGCCTATAATCCAGAAAACACTCAACTCAACAGAACGAAGACGACTGAGAATGCAACTCAGACCTAGTTTATGAGGAAATCCAGATGGCGAGGCAACTAATTACTTTCAAGACAAGATTCAAGAGAGGCGTGAAAATGAAAGGAAGGAAGAGTAACTCACCGACGCCTTGGTTTCTGGGGTAATAACAACTTTGGAAGACCGTCCTCCCATTATTTTGCAGACCTGAGGTATTGAAGGTAAAGACACCAGACGCACGAGGCACAACGAACACCCGCAAATGACCCTGGGTCTCGCTGTGGCAGCAAGCGCCTGACTCACGAGGCAGCTGATTGGTTAGTTTAAACAGTGTTTAGACACGGTGGACAGACAGGCCTTGAGGCGTCATGACGTGTTCGTGTGCGAATCAGCGAATGAATGCGCGAGCAGGCGGGCGCGCACATCGTCAGGCACGCATGCGCGCGCGTGCGTGCATGCACACATGTAAGAGCCGACAGCAGATAGACGGACAGGCGGCGTGAAGGCGCGCTCGTCAATTTTTAAGCGCCCGCGGTTGTCGCGTTGCGGCTCAGTTATCAGCCCGTTGCTATGGCGGCGCTGTTGCTCGTGTCCGCGACCTTGGCCAGATTAAGCATTCGGTAAATACGTGGTGGTTGTTGTGATTTGTGGAATTTTCTGCAGGCTACTTGGGGCCGTCGTTCGCTCTAGACTTACCTTTTCGTCCGACAAACTAGTGCTAATCACCCCAAACATCTACGAAGATTTCGGTTGGCTTCATAGGGGAGGATGTGTGTCCCTTTGGGCGTGACAACTACACCATTCTGGGGTCGTGCTATTGCTGCAGTTGACCGAATTGCAGGGGTTTAGGGTCGCTCGTGATTTGAGCTCAACCTTGACCCCTCATCACGACACAACCAGGATTATGACGATCAGAAGGAGATTTAAGAGATGTTCGTGCAAAGCTAAATCGTTCCGAATCTCTGTTCTTGATAAAAGTTAATTCAAAAATTTTGAAATAGTGGAAGTATTAAGTTCCATTTCTTGCTGAACGAGTAGATCGTCGTCTCTTTCGCCTGCTACCCCATATTGGCAACTTTTGAATGAAATGACGAAGTAGAAACCGAGTTATGAGGGCGGATTGAGCCCTTTTCACATGTTTTGTGTTGAGGTACACGATTTTTTCGCAACGCCATCCAAGCACAATGCTGTCAGCATCCAGTGGCAGGTCGGAACCCGTGTCACACAACCTCACATGCACGTGGCGGCGGTGTTTACATAAGGTCACGGCGGAACATCTAAAGGAACATGCTCACTTCAGCCTGGTAATGACAATACAAACTTGTAGCAAGCAGATCAGTAAAAAAGGTTGACCCATTTTCACGACAAACAATGCCAGAGGTGACTGCTAATCCACTCAGGTCTCGTTTAGTGATTTACGAGATAATAGCCGGTATAGCGGAGTTATTGAAGGAGGCTTCTAATATACAAACGCCTGAGAAAAGGCAAACTATACCCATGGACAATTTAACTGTGCTTTTAGACATTGGTGACGTGTTGTGGATGTATGACTGGGAAGTGGGATTTGTTGGTTTTCATAGAACCATCAGTTGACGTCAGAGCGGCTGCGTGAGGCAACAGAATATCGAAGAAGGTTATTTGATAGAAATGGGGAAATGGCTCGAAGGCTTTTTTATTTAGTATCGCGTGCATTATAGAGCCTGCTAAAGCTCAATTATACAGATTCACGCTAAATACCTTTCCGATTAGAAAAGGTCAATGGTGATTAGTGGAAATTGGCTTCCTCCCATCGTTTTATAGACCCGAGGTATTAAAGGCATAGACACTATACACACATCTGTACAAAGAAGGAGATATACTGGAAACAATACTTGACCAATCAGCGTCTGCTATTACCTCATTGTCAGGTAGATGCTATGAGATTACACCCTAATGTGGCAATGAAGTCTTCATTTCACATTGTAAAATCGACTTGTACGTAGCAGAGAGCGAAACACTTGTAAGTGTCAGGTTTCTCCAAAGAAAAACGTTAAAACTGGAATGAGATTTTCAGACGAAGGGGTACAGGCATACCCATTGTCCGCGGTACCACATTAAGTGTTGCAGTACCTGCACGAATCGTTAGGAGTAGTATGGGTGTCTCACTGCATTGGTTAGCACAAAACACCCTGTGTCAGAGGGAACACGAAGGTAGTGCTTTCCCCAGGACGACTCCCAGGTCAAGGTCACGTCTAGCACCACACCCACCACGTGGATCGATTGTCACGCCAGACTCACGTCCACTGAACTGTCCCAACCATCGACATACAACCACTGGTGTGTCCTGTGAGTTGTCACCGCAAGACAATCACATTGAATGTCAAAAAACGTGGACTGGGTGTGCGCACGACTTGGTTTGCTCGATGCTGTGCAACGGGGCGCCCTCGTAATTGCGTCTGACGTTCCCGTTTTACCTGTTTTCGCGCCTGCCTCCTCTCGCACCCACCCGCTGATCTGAAGGGCGCTGGGCGACTTCGACTACAAGCAGGTGAAGGGCCAGTCGGCCGCCGAACAGCTCGTCTCCCCCGAGCCCGACGTGACTGTGATTCCGCGGGTGAAGGAGGACGACGAGATGCTCATTCTGGCGTGCGACGGTGTCTGGGACGTGTTCTCCAGTCAGGAGCTCTGTGAGTACCTCATCCACCGTCTCAAGTGCTCCTGCTCCCTGTCCGAGGCCTGCGAGGAGACCATCGACACGGCCCTCTTCAAGGTGAGTCGTTAAAAAGTTGTCTTTCCACCTGTTCACGCCGAAAGTTGACATTGTGTTCGTCTTTCATCTGAATTTGCCTTATTAACTAACTTTGTCTCCACCCGAGTTGTGTTGGCGTTCCTTCTCATGGGTGTGCTAACTGTACTGTTGTGGGCCCCAGCATGTGGTCTTGAACCACGCCGGGGCCACGGAATTAACCCTGGCCCAATTACGCATCCCTGATACCCGCGATGAGGAAAAAGATCGGAGAGGACGCGGACACAACCGTTTACTACAGAGCTCAACCACGTTGGTGTCGATGTGCCGTGTGTAGGGTTTGTGCGTTTGTATTTATACCTCGGATGTGTGAGTCATATATGCGATAACATCCAGACCTAGATGTGGGGATAATCCAAGATAAATATCCGTGTGAATGAGGGGGAAAAGAGGAACCCTGCGTCGGAGGTGGAGTGACCGGGTTAAGAGGTGTGAATAAACACGTTTGATAACAGTACCATACCACCATCGGCCAAACTACCACACAACGGAGCCCAGAAACGTCGAATCGCTATGCGCAACGGTGCACTTGCGCACACACTGTGGGATGCTTTTTAGATGTTGAATTGCATCGACTGGCGTAAGGTGCTTAGGTCAGGTACCAAGCGTCTCAGTGTCATTGGCTGAAGATGAGACGTGCCACGTCTAGCATTTTTGCATCAGCTGCCTCACGCTGCTATCTCAAGCGGTCCCATCTGCCCTCAACGTGTTCGAGAGGACCTAGTGTGGACCTCTACGTGGAATGAACTGACGGCAGACTCCTGTTCCCGCCTCAACCGTTCCAGGCGCTCTATTTCGAATGCTCACCTGTGCCGCGGACCTCATGAAGCGGCAATGTGATCTACAACTGTTTTGTTTGCGAGCTTAATCCGATTCGCTTCTGGCATTTCACGTTTCTACAACGGACTTTGAACACAAATGTGCAGGCTATTTGTTCAGTTGATTTAAATTGGCAATATGCTACTTCAGGTTTACAGCCACTTTATTCCGATCCAAACAAACGCGCACTTGACCGTGATGCAATGCCCTTTTTCGATGGGCTTTGTTTGATCAATTGTCGTGACACGAAAAATGCCCTAGTTAGGTATTTTTCTGTTCACTCCAAAGCCTAATACATGTGATAAGGCAAGGTCGAAGGTGTGTCGACTGTTCCACACCAGTAAATAATTGACCACTCATATTTAGCATTTCTCAGTCTCTCAGTTACCGCTGCAAACACAACATTTTGTCCTGTGGCTAAGTGACACTTCACTAGCTGCGTTTCTACTGGATTGGTCCACAAAATTAGTGTCAGTGTGGAATTTATTCACTAGAAGATCTGTGCTCTAGACTAGACGAAATCAGTTCATTGGTGATACTAATCGTTTGTTGTGATTTCGAAAGGATCAGTAGTGTTGAAGGTCACAATTATTTAACCAATGATATAACAGAAACTAATAACGACGAATCAACTGGGTGCTATTCGTTGGTAATCCGAGGTTGTTCAGCTGAGTTTAGCGAAAACAGCCACACTTTGGTGATTTTTGGGATTCAAGTATATTTATTTTTGCTGCAGGGTTTGTACCTGGTGGATGTGGCATGACACGAATTTTTTGATCAAGTTGTCAAGACATGCCAAACACTTGCCAATTAAACAAATCGACTACTAAATAAAATAAGTAGAAAAACAAAGTACAAATTTAGGAAAATGTAAATGAACATACAAGAGATCGGACTTTTAACCAACAACAAATTTTAATAACACGTCACGTTGCTTGAAGTACCTAGTAATGAAGACCTTAGTGGCGCTTGAGAGGGAGAACCAAGAAATTTCAGAAAACTAATGGGTGAGTTGGGTCACTACAACTGGTAGAATCAAAGCTATTCCCAGCCATGGTCGTTGAGAGGGTGCTAATGCAGTATATTCTGGAGCCAATCGATTAAAGTCGTGCCCGAAATGCTCCAATAGTTTGATTTTTTGAGATATCATAACTTCTAAAGCTTGGATCTGACAAGAGCTTAATTTTATCCAATTTTGAAAATTTAGTAAAGATTGCATAGGAAGTAGACAGAACTATCACGACTGTTATTAACAAGTTGTTGACAAAATCGATTTGTTTTAATTGAGCACAACTGGTTTTGGCGGGCAATCGTACTAGACGTAGCCAGTCATAAGCGTCTTTGCCAGCAGGCTGTACACCAATCGCAGACCGCAAAAAACCGTCATTGTAGTTTGCGCCGGTGGGCATACTTTCGTTTGACTAAATTTAGCGCAAGAAGCTAAACCCAAAAATAACAAAGCATTCCATCTTCCCACCAGCTAGCACAGCTAGGCAAGGCGGTTTGTAGAGAGTAATAAATTTTCACCTCACCACCAAAAGTACTTGCAGCTGATTGGCTAGTGGGTCATTCGGGGACAGGGTAAAAAGGTCGTCGCGTGGTTAACTAAACATTGAGGTGGACGCATAATTCACGAGGCAGTGGTATGTAACGGTGTCCTTTTTTCCGCCAAACAAACGTTTCTTTTTTGTATTCATAAAACGATATGAGATGCAGTTGATTCTAGCATGCTAATATCACTCATGCTTGGTGCAATCTCCACATATCACACACTGAAACCATTCAGAAATCCCACTTGGTTACTCTTGACTACACATAAATCGGGCGAAATATTGTCATTGGTCGTGCGAACAACCAAACGCACCTTGGCATTTTTGTGTCCGAACTCTGTAATAAGCCCTTCTGTACGTTTAAGTATTAAAATTTAGAGTGCTGAATTAGTCCAACTTGTAAAAAACAGCCTTCGAAGCAGACTTAGTCAATACTTACTTAATTGATAATCAGCATACCCCCTCCATGCCACCAATTAGCGTGCACGTTCGTTAGAGAGTGATCTTCAAAGGAACCATTAGGACGCGGAGAACACAATTACAGAATATGAGAGATTAATTTACTACCTAGGCCTAGCTTTTCTGAGACAAATCGCGGCAAAGTGCGCCTCGACAGGCATTTGGTTTCATGAACCGTTTGGCAACTTCATCGAAATTTAGAAAATTATCATCTAAAGAGTCTTGTGTGTTGAATGTTCGGTTTGATATCCTTCAAAATGGCTTCCTTTTCAATGTAATCTGTTCTGTGCTCTTTCTTGGCATAATGATAAATTATCCTCAGCAATGCATGTCGGATAGGAGAAGAATGATTTTCTCCATAGTGATGGTTGAGATAACTGAACCAATCGGGTGTCTGGTTCTTGTTGTGTAACGACCAACGAACTTTCCCGGATATCTGAATGGCTAATCGTAAGGGTGCGCTAGAAAGGCGATTGGTAGGTTCTTTAAAACGACAGGAGAGAAAGTTTAACATTTAAGCCAATTCTGATGTTAATTAATTTGGTTCCGAAGGTCAAGAAACCTAAACCTAGTTTGTTTATGCAAACCTCCAAGCAGGTTTCAATCGATGATTTGGTGTTAAACCCAAAATTTACCGAAAAATTGAAGCTTTTAGTTTGAGGCTAAACATAAATCAGTAATTAGCCTCGATTTTTCCTTGTAAAAGTACAAAATTTCCTCAGCAAAACCGCACTTTTTGAGTGGCTGGCATAGGCAGATTAATCCTTCCTTCTTGTCACGTGGCATTTTATGATGCATTCAGAACAAGCGTCCTGAGACCAATTAAAATTTTGCATTTTAAACCACGCGGTTCAATTTTGTTGGCTGATTTAAAGAAATAATCGATGACTTCTGAGTAAGGGATTGTACTTGCACTAAAAAGTCTACTGTACTGATTTACACTTGCATCACTAAGCGCGCAACCGAGCCAAGGTTTGGCCACGTGACCGGAAACCAAAAATTTCCAAGTTTGTCGGAAAAAAGGAGACGGAAAGCGGCGAAAACGAGTCGTGGATTGCACCCCGAAGCGCAATTTGATTGGATAGTCGGCGCAGCGAATCACCTGGACGAAAGAGCAGTAACTGCACAAATATGTATCCATCTAGTTCCTACGAGAGCAATCTACTTTCGCCACGTACATATCCCTCAGCTGTCTAATTTTCACCTAAGCCATAGTTTAGTAACGCTACGTTCAAATTCTACCAAACACTGGCACTAGGCACACATAATTAGCAGTTAATTTAAGCAGCATGTGGATTTTGTGACGGGAAACATCACGCACCAATGGGACCGTCACAGCATCCACAAGCCATAAAACGGCAGAGGAAGCATGGGAAATTTTTTTTACTGTCGTGTACTTAAAGAAAAGTGCAATTTTTTTCATTGCTAGTTTGTGCACCGTTAATTACTCACAGCTGATGGCCTTCAGTAAGTTGAAATTTAGGGAAAATCTTGAACAAGTGCACATTGAGGCATCGGTTTGATGAAGAACGCCTTGGTAAAGAGCATGATTTGGGTTTACGGGTGGCTCAGACGTACCAATATGAGAGGTTCAACACAAAATCCCCCTTATTAATTGCCCTGAGCTTAACGAACAAGTCAAACGCTCTAATTGTATCAACTTGTCGTAGATCCGTCAAACACGATGACTACCAGGTGTGCGCATCGACTGCTTCTCCACCTCGCCTTATCAACCCTGCTGGTCGACTTGGACGCGAAGTCGGACATCCTCACGGCTAAAGAACGCAGCCAACTCACTGACTTCCATGCCCTCCATCGTTCACGCGTGGATCCCCCAGCCGCCAACATGATGCTTCTGGTGAGCGAAATTGCGACTCGCAGTTTTGGGCTATTAAAAATATAAGCATTACGCGTGCCCTTGTAGAGCTATTCGCCGCAGCACGAGAAGCTGGCGAGCTCGTGGCTGTCCGCCTGCCAGTTCAGGTACCCGCCTAGAGAGAATGACTCAGCCTTCGCAGGAACCAATCAGAACCTCGCGATGAGTCGATCGCGGGGACCAAGCGTGCTGGAGCTGGCGGCTGCTTGGGCGCACGAAGAAAAGCACTACCGAGCCAGTGCCGACAAGAACTGTCACTACTGCGGTCAGTACAAGAAGGTGAGCTGGCACAGTGGCCTCATTCGCAATCTCGGTCCATTACAGCTGCTCATTGCTCTTCATTTGATCGAGATAGCTACAAACATCCGACCGGAACACGATTTCCATGACTCTCTTTTCTAGATGATCTGGGCCACAAGTCGGAAATTCGGCTGCGCGAAAAGGGACTGCGGCAACTCCACACTCCTCATGTGTGTCTACGCCCCGGGGTAAGTGCATCTAGTACCTGGTCCCCAAGACGCATTTGTCGAGGTCGTTGAACAGGTTTACATACTGTGCACCTGGCATAGAATTATGGCGGATTAACAGCGATCGCGCCTAAGTGAACCCTGTTTACTGACCTGACGATGACAATGACTCATGCCCCTTTCATTGGTTACTGCTATCAGACGCCTGCTATTCGTTCACTCTTCCACACACTTGGCAGGGGTGACGCTAACGAACGGTCGTGCCGCCTCCTGTTCCACTCAATTATAGGGCTGTTAACCAGAGGGCTGTAGGGTAGTGCTAAATCTCTAGCTCCGTACCTGTGATGAATTTTAGGGGCAACTGGGAGGAGGATAAACCCTACCTCGAGGGAACCAGCTGTTCCAAGTGTGAGAAGAACACGACGTGCAGGAAGAAGCAGTGCGACCCCAACCAACTACAGCCGCCACAGCTGGGCCCCATCTTCTGGGGGCTCATGGCCGCACTCTTTTACACCTACATTGAATAACACATGTGCAGGTTGTTTCCATGGCGACTTGCTATTCTGACAAACAACCCCTTAGATACCCATCTAAATGGGACCAAGAAGCATTATGTCATCCGGGGAGGGGGGACACTAAGCGCACCAATGGGAGGGCAGGCCAACAACTGGCAAAACGCAATACTGCGACAATGTTCAGGCCTATTTGGTGAGCAAAACAGATGGGTTAGCGCACCTGCTACAGATGTGAGCTTGCCTTACCAACTAGACAGGCTCAAAAACCAACTCTTGCGACGGGAAATCCATGTCCCACGCATTAACCACCACCCACACCGCTAAACCAGGTTCAACAGGCCGACAGTATCCTGCGGTAACAATGATTCCCACACACACACACACATGCGCGTATCTCAACATCTTTCTGGCTTGTTTGTTTGTTTTTTTACACAAAAAGGGCAAACGGCGTGGGAGCGAAAGAGGGACAGGCGGAAAAGGAGAAAGTTTTAAGAGAGCAGGGAACGGAGCAAACGCACGTGGGGGGAGGAGGAGGAGGGACGAGATAGGAGGCCATGAACAAGGCGTGTGACGCAATTAATTTTTACACAAACTGTACGGCGACTGGCTTGCGAAGGCCACGGCAGGTGAAACCGCCGTTCCGCTTGCGGAGAGCGCTGCGAGTCGAGGCTGCGCCAGGTCTGGAGGTCGAAGGTGGGCGTGGGGAGAGGAGGAGGAACTGGGTGTGAACTGGGGAATGGAACAAATCACGAGGCACCAGATGATCTCTAGCAGGTGCGGTCATTGTGATGGGAAGCTGCAAAACACGATAATAACACGCACCGCATCAAAGCACGGCGCCACTAGCATGCCGGCTTCATTAACTAGCTAAAAGACAGTACGGTGTGTTAATCGGCATTCCATTCAGCCCATCGACAGGCTTGTTAACTGGAGACGTCGGCAGACAACTCAATGCACACGACGCTCTACTGATATGCGTTAGGTAGTGTTTTAAGCCAAAAAAGCACACACACACACACACACTGGCATTCACTCGGAGGGTACGGCGTTAGTCGGCATTAGCAAGGCACAGGCACACCGACACACACGCGCGCGTGAGGCTGAGTTGGAAAGAGGGAATGAGCAAGCACAGGCGAGGTGATTTTGGGGGCTTACAAAGTCTGCCACGAATGCTCGAAATGGCAGCACGCGTTCGTTCGCCAATTTGTTGCAAATTACTTCGCAGACTCGAGACAGACGACTCACTGGGGGTCTCGAGCGTGAAGCTGAGGTCTCGTTTCACGCCTTCCCTAACGTACAGCGAGTTGATTTAGAAGGAAAATAAAAACAACAACCACAACAACAACTGCGTGCAACGGACGCCGCCTGCTGCGGTTAACGAAGCTACCGGTTTGAAGGCGCAGCTTAGCGAATGACTACGTCTCAAAGCGTGACCGACAACGACACGCCAATGAGCGATCAGGAGGCCAACACGAGGAAACTTGTCGTCACAGTGGCAACCACGGAAAAGGGTTGAAGCGACCTAGAGCAGGCAACGACGAATAGGTGGACCCACGGCAAACAAACACAGGGGAGAGCACACATACACACAGAGGCAGTTCGAGAGAAAGGCCGTTATTGGCATCTGCCACGACGACTAACATTACCCTTGTAGTCACTAGTGCTGACCCACGTCTGCTAACCCGGTCATCGCGGCCTAAGATACACACGCGACCGTCTGCTCATATTCACCTCTGAGTAAATGACGATTGTACTTTTGCTGGATCACCCAGACTGAACGAAACACACGCACGCCTGTACTTCGCCTTTGTGGGTACCACAGTAGAGCAGTGGGGCTAGACGTGACACACACATACAGCCTCAACGGAGTTAAACGCAATGACGGCGAATCCACGACAACAACGGTTGGCAAAAAAAGAAGTTTGGCAGAAACAAAAATCGACACTTACCTATCCATATCAATGCTAAAACAGAACAGGAAAAAAGTAGGTGTTTGTAGTTTCAAATTGCTAATTTTCGCAGACAAGGTTACCCAAACGATGGTCCCAATGACATTTGACTTGAAAAATCGATAAGAAAGGCCAATTGGCTGTTGACCTCAAAAACGAGTGAGGCAAAACTAACGACCCGACGTTGAGCTACTGCTATTGAGGTTAAAAGTAGTTTGATTTAACTGAAACTCCGCACGTGTTTTGCCCAAACGGCGTTTGTGGTCGGGACGCAAATCAGTCTACTCTACGCGGACAGCGATTGGCCCAGCGTAGTCTACACAACAGATGGCATCGGAGGTGGTTTGGCAAATATTTCATAGCAGTGTCCGAGACAGGGGGAAACGACGGCGGCCGAATTGTTTGAGCTGCACAGGGGCACTCGCGAACCAGGAACGGGTTTCCTGCACCACGAAGTGAATTTTAAGCAAAGAGGGGGATATTTGTCACCTCACATTCGGAAACGATTGAAGTCGCAACCATTTCATTGCCAACCATCTACAGACAGGGAGATGCCTAAAATCGATGTGTTCACTAGGCCCTTCCCTCGTCTCGCCACCCCCGCCCCCCAAGCCTCAACCTTTCTCGACGTAAACAAGATCCGGATCTGGAGTTCAGCGACTGGCTCGACGACATCGAAGAAGACCACTTGGAAAGTTCGGGTCGGAATCTTCCACGAACTTGGTGAGCTGAGGAATGAGAGAACAGAGAAGGCAAGGAAGGAAGGGGGGAAGCAGAGGTGCACAAACACACGCATGCAAGAGGAGACGCAACGAGGACGGGTGGCAACAGCAGCAGCGGCAGCAGGGGTATTGGCATTAGCTAGGCAATGTGAGAGGCGCCGTACTTCTACACGCATGCACATTGCACACACACACGCGCGCGAAGTGCCATCGTCGCCGTAGGACTCAGCCGAGTTGGCAAGACAGCACTGCTTCTCCGCAATCGCTAGCGGTACACCACTGACCTGCCACCTCCCTCCGCTACTTCTCCTCCGCCCGCGCAAAACACTGCTCGAAGAAGAGCCTGGTGGGACTTCAGGGGGGGGCGGGGAGGAAGAAGAGGTCAAGTGAGGGGGATTAGAGTGGCGGGGAGGAGAAGGAGGGGAAAGGTTGCCATCCACAACTCAGCTATCTACGTCATGACAAGACACGTGGATTTTAACAAAGTGGAGCTACGGACAGGGGCATCGACAAGCATTTCTGACGTCCTGCAAGAGGCGATACCGAGAGTAAACCAACGTCCCCCGAGATTCGTCCCTTCTTGCCCTAATCCCATTGGTCTACGCCAAAGGTCGTCGTCAGAGCGTGTATAGTAGTAGGACCAAATAAACGTGGTCGTGGTGGTGGTAGTTGATCAAAAACTGGAGAAACCGGAAGGGGGGAAGTGCAACACCAAAACGGGACCATCTTAACGACAACCGCGCGCACTGCAACAGAACACAGGCACTAAAAGCCCGGTAGTAGGGTTGTGGCGATCAAAAAAAAACGAGGATGAAGAACGCACCAGTCTGTGATTTCGGGGTGACTCGAGCAAATACTTTCTATGAGGGCGCGCCTGAAAGGGAAAAAAAGACAGACCAATGAGATTTCGAGGATGAGACGGCAACTCCAAGGGTCCACATTAAGAGCTTACTTTGCTGGCGAAAATCATGAAGAGACATGGGATTAGCGCCATTCCAACTAACTAATCACTTAAAGCCAGGGTTAACCAATCAGATAATCGCGGTAGTAAGGTGACTTGGTTAGGGTGCAGATGGAATAGCAATTAGTGGGAGTACAAAGTGACATTTAATCGGTTTCCTACAGGTGTCTACCATGGAGACGTCCTAATCGGTTTCAGAACGACCAACCACGGTCGTGGAAGCAAAATAAGTCAGTGTGTGGTGTCGATTCGCAAGAAACCAAACAGACAACCCACATTTAAATGCTTGTCTGCTTAACTTATGCATTGGAGCGTCTACATACAAAACGACGTCTGGCTAGTTTCTACTGTGATTGGTCAATACCAACTAGTACATCGCTTAATTCACCGTGAGGCTTCTCAGGGCGTGGGGGTTGTGGAGGGAGTTAGTTAAGCCCGCCTCTCCCCCCCCGCCCCCTTGGCTGAGAGAGAGAGAGAGGGAGCAAAAGGGGAACACAACACTCACTTTGTGACCAAACCGCCAGGGGGGTAGTTGGGGAAGGAGCGGTTCTCAATCACGCTGCTGATTGACGAGGAGGTAAATCTGTCGGTGTCCTTGTACATCTCTAATATGTCTGATTGAGAAAACACAAACAAAAATGACTCATAAGCATTAACGAATTTCAGAAGCGACGGCCACGAGGGAATGGCGACCTTGACTTCAAACTTACAAACTAAGGCAGGGTTCATTGCTCTGATATGATCAGATCGGCCTGACATCGGTTCGATGGCAAGGCAACAGACCCACATTGATAAATCGCCCAGAGTTATAGGGAAAAAACACCAATAGTGTGTCACTTCTAGTATCACAAGTCCCAGAGCATACAAATTCACATACATTATTAGAATTCTCCTACTAAAAACGAAATTTTTGACCAGATATGCCTGAGGAGATGAAGCTGCCGATCCCACAAGTTCGAAATTTCCAGCCTGACTTGACAGGACAGGGGGATAGCTTGACCGCCCTACTTCGCTGCGCATGAATTTCAGGCAAGGGTGTGAATATCATGGCCAGGATTTCACAAGCGAGAAAAACAACACAAGAACTCACTCTCTATCAAATCGCGAATTGCGGTGTTGAGTTCCTTGTCCAGTTTGGTCATTTCTGAATCGGGAGAGTGGAGGTTGTCGAGGCCGACAATTAGCATGGTCATGTTGTCCTTGCTGCCCTAGAAGCAGAAACAAAAACAGGCCAACATGACAAACCGTCCGCATTGGTCGAAAATCGACCATCACAGGCAACGCCATTGGCTAGAGTAACAGAGCAAAGCAACCAATAATTTCGCAGGAAACGATTAATTTCTACCAATAGCCTAAGACTACACGCCGGGGCCCACAACAAGCTAAACCGAGATTAAAATGGCCTCTTCGGATAGAGATAGTAAATTTAGGAAAAAATCCAGACAATTATTGACGTGAAGGTTCTTACTGCTTCAAAACGACTTCGGGAAACAGTAAAACACATGCCTAATCTTGTTCAAACAGAGACGACACTGCAATCGCGTCCTTGATGTGACTTCACAGTTTACGCTACGTGAACACTTGAAATCACGCTGTTTAGATCATACAAATGGCGACAACTCACTCAATCACAAAGTCCACGACGCTGCTTCATGCGCATAGCAGCACAATGAAGCACGATACAGAACATGGTAAAAATGTTTTGGCCGGTGTTCGTTCCAAGTATGCTGCCAGCAACGCTTGCCTTTGGACACAAAGCAGTCAATTTAAAACGAAAGTACACAACGCGTCTAGAAAACACCTGGGGTTCGCATGGAGGTGAAAAAGGAGTTGGTCCCGTGACATCCCATTCTGATTGGCTACTACTGTTAGCAGACGATTGGCTCACGCCTACGCGCCAGACACAAGGACGGTGCCAGACACGTCCTTTGGGGTTCTGCTGGGAGAAGTCACAACGGGTGTTTAAGAGGTTAAGCGGTGCATGCCTCGACGGTTGTTGACTTGCGCCCCGTGAACAAATGACTGCCGCATTTTGATTGGCTACAACTACCAGCTGACGAGTCACGCTAAAGCGCCAGACACTCGGACGGCGCTAGACCGATTAGACAGACGCGCGACTTTTCGGCTGAAGAGGGGTTTGGGACGACAGTCACGGGTGCGCCAGAGACGGTGGAACAGAATGACGGCAAGTTCTTCAGATTTCCGATCTCCAACAGATTACGATGCTATGACAACCAGTGATCTGGAGTGCCTACACCGCACAACACACGCATGCTTCCGTAATTGTGCATGCGATTTCAAACTTTCCCACCTGATGTGCAGAAGCAGTGAGGGGCACATTTGTACTTTTAAATTGTGCACTATTGGACGCGTAAAATAGTGGGTGCTTGGAAGCAACCCCTGAAGAGGCAAAACTAAAGCGTGCTAAGAACACGATGAATGCACAAGTAACTACTGGAAGCCCCGCACAAGCGGTAGCCGATAGTCTACAAGGTCAATAGTAAAAAAAGACGGAATACCCATGAACACGAGGCGGTTGACGAAAAAACCGCGGTGCCTGAATGGGGTAAAGTCCAAGGACTTGATCAAAATTTGTGGATGAGTGTCGATGTAAACACACCACCGAAACAACCAGTGGGGGGCTGTGTGACGGTGACCGAACGGAAGGAGATGGCGGCGCGCAGTTGAAATTCACAGGCGCGATGCACTAATAGAACCGGTCACACGATGGACACCTCGTCTACGATTACACCACACACACACACACAGGTGTGCGGGCGCGCACGCATTTCCAAGGTGTTTACAGCTAGCCCAGTAAACACGGCGACTTGTTTGGCATTGCGTGAGCAGCAAAGATCGCGGTGGAACGCAAATGCGGCAGCATAGTTGCCGAGGTGAAGGGGAAAACAGAGATTCGATGCACCGCGTGGAACACAACCTCGTCAATATGACAGCGACCAATCGGCTGATTCGAAGCAAGAAGAAATCTGGTTGGGCAGGATTGCACGGAGGGCGCAAACAATACCTCGATGATTTAGCAGAGGTATTTGGCAAAAAACGAGTACGACAACCAATCATTTTGGTTGCCAAGACAATTAACCCCACACTGTGTCAGATAGGGGTCACCTCCTTGTGTGAAAACGCAAGACCACACACACACACACACAGGCTACTGCACTCCATGCACCACAATCACTAGACATAGCCCCATCCTGGTTGCCAAGTTTTGCGGAAATTGACGGATGTCAACAAAACGACACGGGCGTGTGCACGCTGATTCCCACTAAAAACACCCTCAAACGGGACGGCGCAAGGAGTACATCGGCACGACTAATCGAGTACACAAACATCTCTCTTCACGGATGTGCCTGTATTACAATGCAGATAGAGCAGCACGCGGCAAAATTGCCCAGGAATGAGGCGCAGCAGCGAAGATGATTGCGCGATCGCCATCCTACGCGAATGCACAGAACAAAAGCATCATGTGTGTGTGGGTAACCACGTGCCTCTTACCCACCCACCCACCCGAAAAACCATTTACGCGGCATGTGTATGTGTGTGCGCGCATCCTCAATGTGTTGGCAATGCAGTTTTAGAGGTGTGATTCACGTGCCAGTCATACTACCTACGCACGGCGATTCGTCAGGTGCCCAGAAGCAAACGGTGCAATCGAATCAGTGAGGGGTTGAGTGGATGACGGGAACGCCACCGTCCAAAGATGGGCGAGAGCCTTCGACGGCCAGTTAATTCCGTGCATCCACTGATCACACATCAACTCCCTCTCCTTCAACCAGCAACACTGATATCGGTGTGACTTTAACGCATTCTAAGACGTGGCGACACATCCGCGTGCGGATAGAGTAAACATGTTTACGGGTGCCAGCGAGACCTCCCTTATAACCCTTAGTCAATCGATGGGAGAAATTAACGAGTTTATTTGCGGTGGAAATCACACAGGCGTGAGAGCTGTCACCAAGGCGGATGCAAGCATGTGAAGCGAGGTTGCAGGTTATATGCATTATGGCTAATTAGACGCGCGAAACACTTGAGGTAGGTGCACTGAAATTCAGCGTGTTCACCGAGCCAAAACGGCGACTCGAAAGAGCGCATGCAACGGAAGAGGCGGGAATAGGTGTCTGCCGTCAGCTCATTTCACAAAGAGGTCCACACTAGGCCCTCTTGGACACGGTGAGGGCAGATGGAATTCAGATAAAAAACGAACACAATGTCAACTTTCGGCGTGAACAGGTGGAAAGACAACTTTTTAACGACTCACCTTGAAGAGGGCCGTGTCGA